TGCGTCGTCTTTACCAAACTTTGTTCATAAATTATAACATCCCTGCTAAACACAGTTTTGTTCGTCTCAAGACACAAAAGACGATATCCCTTTAAGCCAATTATGATTCCCATGAACAAAGCCTTTTTCGCTCTTGGATCTATCTTTGAATCCTTCACATGATAGAACGTAGGACACCCAAAGACAAGTAAAGATCCATAGTCAGCAACAGGTTTCCCCGACCATACCTCCAACGGTGTTTTACCATCTTTTGCAGATGACGACAAACGATTTATGAGGTGTTGCACATATGTTACAGCCTCAGCCCAGTACTCCTTGCCCAAACCAGCATTGGACAACATACCTCGAACTTTCTCCACCAATGTTCGATTCATGCGCTCCGCCACCCCATTTTGATGTGGTGTCTGTTTAACGGTGAAGTGCCTAACAATGCCATTTTTATGGCAAACTTCTTGAAAGGGATCTCTTGTATGTTCTCCACCATTGTCCGTTCGTAGGACCTTGATCTTCCTTCCAGTCTGATTCTCAATTTGTGTCTTCCATGTCATGAAGACACCAAGCACTTCATCCTTCCTCTTCATAGTGTACACCCAAACACGTCTGGAAAAGTCATCGATGAAAGTGACAAAATAGCGTCTTCCGCCTAATGATGGGGTCTTAAAAGGTCCTCACACGTCCGAATGAACATAATCCAAGACACCTTCGGTATTATGGATAGTCGTTCCAAACTTCACTCTCTTCTGCTTTCCCAGAACACAATGCTCACAAAAGTCTAGTTTGCACATTTTGACATCTTTCAACAGTCCTTATTTTGACAATGTTTGCAAGGACTTTTCACCAGCATGTCCCAAACGCATATGCCACAACTTGACTGCTTCAGACTCCTTGTTGGTGGAATCTGCTACTGTTACTGTCCTAACAACCGTATCACCTTGATAGTAATCAGTATTCTTAAAATCGGTGTAGGCGGCCGCCTAGGCGACGGTCCGCCTCCGCCGATGTGCTAAAATCAGCCATAAAAATCGGCCAGGCGGGGCTAGGCGGAGCTAGGCGGCCTCGGCGGTCACCGCGGCTATGCGTTTTTTGCGGGACTAGGCGGGTTCTCGGCGGCTGAGGTCGGATACGTTGACCGGGGTCGATAGGGTTAAAGGCTTGAAGCTGGACGATCAAAATCGAGAGACAGTGACTGAATTTGGAAGGCTAAAACTGATCTGAAGTTGGAACGGCGGATCTAAAATTCGGACTTCAGAAAGGGACGAGAAGATGAATTCTTTTTTTTTTCGTACAAGAAGATGAATTTTAACTTCTGAAATCGGAAGGTCGAAAAGAAGGTGAAGTGAGCGTGAACCATTTTCGGTACATTAATTTATTTCTAGATAGCTTTATGAAAACACATGTGTTTTGTTGGAAGATGTGGCTGGACATTAATTTATTCACTGTACAATGCTTTTAATGTATTCTAGCACATTAACTTTTTACTTTCCCATGACATATGCATGATTTATAGGCTTTTAATGCATTATGATGTAGCTTTTAATTTATTCTAGTGAAAAACTTGGTAGAAATTTGGTAGAACCGACATTTATAGGCTTTTAAACTACAATGAGAAGTAGAAATTTAAAACTTTAAATCTAGATTTATTAATTATAACTTGTAATTTCATTAGTGAAATTGTGAAAATAAATAAAAATAATATATTTATTAACTTCTAGGCCCCGCCTAGGCCTCGCCTAGGCCCCGACTAGGCGCTCTAGGCGCTAGGCGCTGGTCGAGCGCCTAGCAGTCGTCTAGCGACTTCTAAAACATTGATAGTAATACAAATTATTCCTCCTTATGCCTTTCATCACCACGAACGAGTCAGATGTAACCTTCATAACTCCATCTCGCAAAGTCACTACCAAGCCTTTGGATTCCAAGGCTTCTAATGAGATGAGGTTTTTCTTCAAACTCAGTACGTACCGAACATCCGTCAAAACTCTGGTGGAACCATCGCGATTCTTCAAACGGATTGAACCTATCCCAGTTGTCTTACAGGCATTATCATTTCCCATATAGACAACCCCTCCATTGATCTCCTGAAAATTGAAGAACCATTCCCTTATGGGAGACATATGGTAGGTGCATCCTGAATCCAAAATCCATTCGTCTGGATGAGATGATGAAGGTGAAACCACAAGTGAAAATTCAGAGTCTTCACTTCCACCCTCAGCAACATATGCATCTTGAGGAGATTTGCCCTTCTTCTTCAACTTAGGACAGTCTTTCTTCCAGTGTCCCTTCTCATGGCAGAAAGCATACTCGTCTTTTTCAAGCTTGGCTTTAGAACATGATCTTCCTCGTCCATTCTTCTTTTGGCTCTTCGACCGACCTTTTGCAAGCAACGCTTCATCTTCTGCTGCTGCATTCTTCGTCTCTTGTTTGTTCTTCTTTCTCAACTTATAGCTATACAGAGCAGAACTGACCACTGCAAAAGTTACATCGTCCTTCCCATGGAGCAGAGTAGTCTCTAAGTGCTTGAAGTCGTCTGCAAGTGATGATAACAACATTAGAGCCAAATCTCCATTGCTGAATATGACGTCCAAATTCAACAAATCTGCAACTAACTGATTGAATGAAAAGACATGATCATTCATCGATGTGCCATGCCGGTACTCAAAACGGAACAATCGCTTCTTCATGAGGAGCTTATTCTGGCCGCTTTTGTTCATAAATTTATTGTTCATGTGTGATTTTACACCATATTCATATAGTCTCTGGAGCTTATTTGTTGCATTATTGGTGTATAAATTGCATATTTGTGCTTTAATTCTATATTTGTTGGAAAGGTATTACACGCTTGTTTTGTAGATATTTTCACATATTCTAGAGCTTTTGGCTATTGGAGGTGCATGGTGAGTACCTAAGACCCCCGAGATGATGAAAGATTGATGCACGGATGAAAAAAATGGAAGAAACGAGGGAAACAAGTGAAGAATAAAGTGCAGATTTGTGACACGGGCAGTGACACGGGCATCATGCCCGTGTCGGAGGCCATGTCACCTCAGCAGAAGGATTTCGAAGCCAGGTACCTGACACGACCCGCTACACGACCTGTGACACGGGCGTGTCGGGTCGTGTCGCACACGTGGGCAGTTTTTAATCCCTTGCCTTTTTGGATAAGGAGAAGAGTTTTAGACATTATAAAAGGCATATTAACCCTATCCTGAAGGAGGGAGGTGGAGAACACAAGGAGAAGGGCTTGGAACATAGAAGAGAGGCAATTGGGAAGAAGAGAAGATCAACCACAAGATTTCTAGTTTTTCTTTTTCTCTTTTGAACTTATTTTCTCATGATGATTTCTAATATGTCTATGTATTTGAATTCAAACATGAGTAGCTAAATTTCTTTGATTCTAGGACATGGTAGTAGATTTATAGTTTGGGATTTTTGGATGATTTATCATAGTTGATTATTTTCTTTTGAACCCTATTCAAATATTTTGTATTTATTTCATGAATTGCAATTGGCCACTGCTTTTACATGTTTGATGATATTGTTCATAATTCGAGAGATGAGTTTAATATTAGATCTTTAATGTTTGACACAATTTGTTTGCTTGAATCGAGAGATTAGTAGATAGTTGTGAGAATTTTGGGTCTTTTAATCTTTTTGGAGTTGAATTGCATGTGTTGAGTGAAGACGCTAATATATGTGATTTAATCTACGATTTTATCGATCTCAAGAGAGACGATAAGCTAAATGTGTGATCGTCTTATAGGGTGATAAAGAGAACATTTAGTTGTCATATTTTTGAAGGAATCCTAACTATTAATTGAACCCAACGTCTTAGAATCTATCGTTCCCATATATTTACTCACGTGTTGATCTAGCTAGTTCTTTATTTTTGCTTTATTTCATTTCATTCATTTTCTTAGTTTAGTTAATCAATCTCATATTCGGTCATCTAAATAAAGTTGACATTATTATAATCTTGTACTTGATATATTAATTATTTGGTCTCTTGGAATACGACCTTGTTTGCCACATACTACGAGAGAAGCCGTACACTTGCGGTCGAGCTTTAAAAATATAGGCGAACATTTATCCTCCAAAGCCTTCCACAAAGTGTGAACAGAGTTCTCATTCTTGAACGCGTACTTCTGCTCCCTCGACAAACACGAACGAATTGTTCCACATGCTAAGCGGATGATATTCTTCCAGTCCTTCTCTTCAATGTCTGTTGGCTTCTCCTTTTCAATCGCAATGTCGACGCCTTGCTGAAATAAACAATCCAGCACCTCGCCTTTCCAATGCCGAAATGACCGGTCAAATCGAAGATCTCCACGGGAGTCTGACGTTCGGCATCACCGTCCTTGCCGGAATGAATGCAGAGGATGATGCGCCCTTGACCTCTTTGGACATCTCAGACCCGAATGCAGTGTTCCCCTCTCCAAATGAGCCTGGGACGAACCTTCGTCTCTGATACCACTTGTTGGGGTATCACAACAAGCACAGTAGACAAAAATGCCCCTACAACAAATATGGCAAGCACTACTCCAAACGAAAATAAGGCAACACAAATAAATAAAAGATGAAAAAGAAAAGAACACAAAAATTGATAACATAGTTCGGCGAAAATAGTCTAGGTCTCTGGGCACCGCCAACCGCAACGCCAAATTTACTAAACTCACTAATAAAATACAACTAGGGTTAAGTAACCCACAAAATAAGATTTGCTTAATTAAGGATTTCCTTCTAAATATGAGAGAATAGAATAAGGTGCAATTATAACCCAAAGACAAGGGACTTATTTATATTAAAAAGATCCTACACATCTTTGGTACACATTAGATGTGGGAGATAAAATTAATCAAAATCTAACGCCAAGTGAGTGGTACGTACAAGAAGTCACCCAATCATTTTACAACTTCCGCCATATTTTATAGCTCTGCAATTCAACAAAGAAAGATAATCTTTTCTGATGATGGGTGGACAGACTGAGGATTGAGTACACCAGCAGCATGTGCAGCGACTCGGGCTCGGACTCAAACGGGTGGACAAAGGCCCGCGGTGTGGTACTGAAAACGTTGGTCCTAGTCGGCGACGCGTTGTTGCTGAAGCGTCTCACCAAGTCCACCACTCGCTGGGACCACACGCGCATCGTCGCTGACTCGCTCGCCGGCTATAAGGTAGCTCTTTTGTTGTGTACTTGCACTGAGCTGATTGTTTATTCAGTGTGCTTTTCCGGCTTTCGTTATTGGTGGTTTGAATTTGAATTTGTAGTTTTCCGGAGAGCAAGCTGCGAGGGACCCAGACAATGATTTCAATTTAAGGTACACGTTTATCTTCATTGGCTTCATATTCATGGTTGCTGTGAATTGATTGCAGCATATTTATGTAGCTTGTTGTGAGTTTGATGATGATGTCGGTGAGTTGTAATTATGTTAAAGCTGGAAGCTTTTGTATATTTTCATCCTAATTTAGTTGTGTTAGAAACCTGAGGAGTTGATTTCATATTTCATAAAGGATCATGTTCATTATTCTTGGTTTCGATCACTTCGATTTCTCTTTGTTCTGTTTATTCTTTGGCTGTGCACAAATTTTTGCGTGAGCCGGCGAAAACGTTTGCGGGCGACCACTCGACCCATCATATTTTTTTTTAACAAAAATAGATACTTATGTTATGAAATGTCGGACTTTTGTTTATGTTGTTTTTTTTTTGGGTCTAAGTAATATCAATGTCTTCTTTGCATTTCCAGATGGCTTTCGTGCCCGGCAGCAGAAATGGCGGATGGTTCAGGGTTTTGTACTTCGAGCAGGTACAATTTTGTAAATCACATGATAATTCTCCTGGCATATTGCTAATAATGGACTAGATCAAAATGACTCAATTCAATTCTAGTGCTTCTTCTATTAGTGAAGTTTCTAGAAAAATACATCAAACGACGCAATGCACCTTGGGTCGCTACGGAAACAGTCTCCTTGTATAATTACAAGGGTAAGGTCTGCGTACAACTGACCCCCAGACCCCAACCCGTTTGGGAATATACTGGGTATGTTGTATTGCATATGTATACAGAGTCTTGTGTAACATTTTCCTACATGGAGATTCTCAGATGAGTTTTTCTTGGACAGGCATTCTCGAGAACTCCTCGCAAACCATTTAGGCAGGTATTCAAAGAGTTTAAACCCTAATCAGTTTTGATCCCTCTTTTACCAGCAGCTTATTTGATGATCCATTAGAATTTGTCATAGTGAAATGATGTTAAACTGTAAGCAAACGGTTACACTATCAAAAGCTTGAGTTGCTTTTGTCTGCTCCTCCACATTGGACTTTGTCACCACTTCGATGACAAGAATGTGAAGTTTTTCATCAATTCCTTGCCAGTTTTTTTTCTGGCTGTTACTAGTTTTAACGGCACTCTTCTTACAGAGATTTTTCATGGTAAAGCCTTGTTCAAATTAGATGAAATGTGATGTTGAGGTTAGTTTCGAGTCTTGTTTTGCTTCCATAACTATCTCTACTATTTCTTGGTTAAAGATGTCAATATAATAGGATTGAAGATTATCCTATTTGCCACATGATTAGCTTAAGTTAATGATAAATCCCTGGCTCACTGGACAGCTTAGTACCTATGCAGTCCGGGATTCTGAGGAATACAAGAACTTCTGTGATCGACGAAAGGACCAAAGGCCACAGCCTGAAGAAGTATATGAGGTAAGCATTGTTGTGAATACACATTGATAATGAAACTGAACATTTTCTATTGAACTCTTTTTTTTTCTTTTTGCTTTTTTCGTACGTTTATGCAAAATCTCATCTTTGCCACCTTGCACACCATTATTTTGAATCGGGCGTATTGTTGATTATGATCCGCTTTGTATAATTCTTGTGGTTTTGAGAATCACATCATTACCAGGCACACTGTTTATATTATATTTAAGGATATCACCAGCTGAACTAACAATCAGCCCCCATGTTCTGGGAAGAAAAAAGAGTGGGTTAACATGATGCGAGGACATTCTACATCTCGAGTTTGCAAGAGTATGACAAACGTTTCTTACAAAAAAATTTAATTAGTTTTGCTATGCAGCGTGGTTATATTTCTCTCGAATTTGGTAACATGTTTGATTTTGGGTAAGCAGACACTTCATACCAACCCAAGGGATACCATCAAAACTTAGGAATTAGGATTCGCAAAGGTTTAAGAGACCATAATGCTGTTCACATGAGGACTTAACTGCAACCCCATAATCTGCACTATACTAAAATTGCCTTCGTACGGTTAAGACACCTCTATACCATATTCATTTGAATCACTAAAGAACTTACTACTGTCCTTGATTAATGTGCTTGATCACCGACCTGTTCATCTCTTTGTTAATGTGAATCCATTGCCAGATTAGGTTATTTGATTGGGTGAATCATTCACCCCATTTGGTTCTGCGTCGGGAACCAGATTTCTCTTGGTTATTTTCTTTCCTAAAATACATATTTGTAGGCTTAGTACTGTGAAAAGCTCTAGAATAGTCGGTCAGTGTGTGGAGTGATGCATCCCATTGTGCAGGTTAGATATTTTAAGGATAGCCTGGGAGAGAACAGAAGGAAGTGGACCGTTTCTGCTGGAAAACACAAAATAGAAACCTCGGTTTCCATCAATATCTGTGATAGTAGAATGCTTGGCTTTTCATTAAACACTATCGTATTTTCAGACAGACAAGTTAGAAATAAGTATGAAAAGTAAATTTTGCAAGGTATTATTAAATGAAATGAAAATGTAACAATGGAAGTTGAAATGCTGGTTTCTCTTGTTAAAACAGTGATTTTATGTGATTAATGATTAGAAATTCAAGACGAGCAGATGTAGTATTTCTGATATAAATCTGCCGTAGGCCTGTAATTATTATAATTGAGTAGGCAACATCTTTTGTAATTATTATAATTGAGTAGGCAACATCTTTTATCATTTAATCTTAGGAAATCTCATAGGACATTGCAGAGCATTTGACCACCATTTACCTCAAACGATGCGATCGAGGCAAACGCTGTTTGTATGAAGGCTCGACTCCTCCAGATGGATTTCCTAATACATGGGTATGCCTGTTGTTTACTTCTACCCCTCTCCCATCAAATATTCCCCTCCATTTGTGCATACAGTGTGTGTTCATTTTATTTTACTTAAATGCTTTACATATAGCAGAATGGAGCATCAATCTGTAAATCCGAACTCACGGTTTTGAAGAACAGCGAAATACACACATGGGACAGAGGTTATGATGAGAATGGGAATCAAGTTGGTTTCAACCAAAATTATCTTTGCCTTTTTTTTTTTCCAAAATATCACTTTTGCTTCACCTGGACTATATACCGTTTTCATTGTTCTTTTTATTTTTATTTTTATTTTTTTTTTCAGATTTGGGGAGGAAAGGATGGACCCTATGAGTTTAAACCTGCTCCAGAGTCGAGTTACAGCGATCCATTTTCGTCATTAACTTTTCAACCGCAACTCATGGAGAAAATGATTGACGGTTCGTTTGTTCTCCAAGAATGATACTTTTCATTTTTTTCATCCATCCCACATATATGCAATAATAGGTCAAACTTTGCAGACACCTCAGGTGAGCATCGACTGAATCTTGTATTACTGTGCTCCCAATATTTGTAATAATTATCACTAAGACCAACAAACCTGAACTATTTCAGTATCTTTAAATTCTATGATTTCGAGTTCTATCCAGCTCTACACAACTCAACTAAAGAATCTCCTAAATTTTCCATGATAGGTTACTTTTTTTTTCCTATTGAAGTCCTTATAATATCGTGGTGAAGTTGAAAATATAGTAGCATCAAGTGCATAAGCTTAACATTTTGGACAAAAGAATGTGAAATTGTTATGAACCAATTACAAAAATTTATAAAGAAAAAAAAAGAGAGAGAAAATACAAGTTGAGATGCATGAAATTGAACTCTTTAGTAGGTACTGTTGAGGTAGAAATATAAAGCAGCCAAAGCTGCAGCTCCAAGTGCCACTGCAAAGGGCAATGCTTGCCTGCAATAGCAAAAAGAACAAACCTTTGATATCAACAACATTTTTTTTTTTTTTGTTCTGACACACAACAAAGATATGAGAAATTTGAGGTTGCAAAGGTTGTACATAGAGGTGTACATAACACTCACATTGAGTGGGACCCACTAAAATTAAAAAATCAAGTGGACCCCACTCCATGTGAGTGTTACGTACATTTATTATGTACATGTAGCATTTTTCGTAAAAGAAACTGTGGGAGATGAAGCATTCTTTACCCAATAGATTCATCTCTCTTAATCTGTGCTTTCCTGGCTTTTCTAACCTCTGTGCTATTGGCATCTTTGGTCACTGCTGGCTGATATGGCCTAAACCTCCTCTTTGGGGCACCACAAACTGCAGAAATATCAATGAAATAATATTTCATAATAATAATAATAATAAATAATAATTATGAGAAATGCTACAGTCCCGTTATGGAACCATTCCGTTGGGATTTGTAACCGTCAGATCATCATGTAACTGTCGTAGATACTTGATCTAACTGTTACAAACCTTGACGGAATGGTTCCGTAACTTGACCGATAGAATCTCCCAACAATAATAATGGTTTTTGAAGTGTCAGTGTGTAAGATTACTGAGATTTTTTCTAGCAATTTACCAGGACAGAAGTACTTATCAGGCACCTTCTCAAATGGGGTTCTATCGTTGTAGATATACCTGCATCACCAATCCAATATTTGTCAATTTACAAAATAATAATAATAATAATAATAATAATAATAATAATAATAATAAAAAAAATAAATAAATAACTAAAAAGGCACATTACCCACAATCACGGCAAATGTAGGCTTGCTTGGAAGCCAGTCGCATGGAAAATTTGGGGGCAGTCGCCGGAACACTTAAGACTTGAGACGGCGGCGGCATCAGCTGGCGGATGGATGGTGAAAAGAAGGACGACCTTAGAGCAAAACGGTCGGCCGGCAGCCGTAGAGCGGTGGCTCCCGCCGCCGTGACTGGTGGTGCAATGGATTTGGCTCCATGGAAACTTGTGGATGCCAAGGCCATGTCTAGTGCTACCTTTTTTTCTTCTTTCCCTTTTTTTTTCTCTTAGTTTTATGCTCTATACTTGAGAAGATAAGAGAGTGGTGTCTTGTGAGGCCAACGTGGAGCAATTTGGTTTTCTAGATTTTACGAGTTTCTTTTCTTGTACAAAGTGTGGCCACCACAATTGTTACTCATGGAATCACACCTTAATCTGTGGACCTTTTTTTTTTTT